CTGTTTACAGGAACCCGACAGTGTGTGCCAGGAATTGTGCTAGGTTGTGTTCATGGGCTYGTCCTGTTTGTTCTTGCAACAGCCCTGGGAGTCGGGACTCTTAATAACCCCACTTGACAGCTAGGAGACGTGTTCAGGGGAGGCCAGTCACACTGCCAGGAGTGACCGAGGTAGGATTCAAGGCAGGATCTTTCTGACCTCAGAGCTGCCCTGGGCTGTGCTGGAGCACTTCCTGGGAATGCCCGGAGCCCTGCAGGTGGACTTCTGCTGCTGTCTCCAGTCCACGAATGGTGGACTGTGTGTTTGAGACGCTCTGTCTCGGGMCAGGTGCCACGTGGCTGGAGAAAGGAGCAGCCAAGCACGTGAAGTCACCAGGATGGAAATCTTAGCGCCTGCATTTTATTTTAATCAAAGCCCTTTCAATGCTGCCTCTGCCACATGACCCAGAGCCAGGGAGTTAGACTTTGTGCCCAGAGTGGATTCCTTCTTTGAAATCCTCCTCTTCATTGGAACTGTCTTGTGACACGGGCCACATTCACCTTTACCACCATTTATTTGTGCAWAGATTAGGCCACTTAGGGAACATACACCAATTTTCTTACCAGGCGTGAGCACACACCTGTAATCCCAGTGCCTCGGGAGCTGAGGTAGGAGGATCGCAAGTTCAAAGCCAGCCTCCACAACTTAGTGAGGCCCTAAGCAACCTAGAGAGACCCTGTCTCAAAGTAAAATATAAAGCCAGGCATTGTGACGCATGCCTGTGATCCCAGAGGCTTGCAAGGCTGAGGCAGGAGGATCTCGAGCTCAAAACCAGCCTCAAGCAAAAAAGCGAGGTGTTAAGCAACTCAGTGAGACCCTGTCTCTAAATAAAATACAAAATAGGGCTGGGGATGTGGCTCAGTGATTGAGTGCTGAGTTCAATCCCCAGTACCCCTAAAATAAATAAAATATAAAAAGAGCTAARGATGTGGCTCAGTGGTTAAGCTCCCCCGGGATTCAACCAGTGGTACCACAAAAACAAAGTTCCTTCTGTTAATCAACAAGGACTCCAATTGGATATCGTTTTAAAGTGACAGGGTTGCAGAATTCTGTCCACTCCTGTAAGGTGGTTACCTTTTAAAAAGGTAATGAAGAAATATGTGACAATAATAGCATAATGGGGGTGAGAAATGGAGCTGTATAGGCAAAGTTCTGTATGCTGCTTCAATTGGTATTAATCTAAGCTGAATTGTTTAAAAAAAAATTAAGATGCTCATTGTAATCTTCAGCACAGTCACTAAGAAAATAACTAAAAAATAAATAGTAAAAGAAAAAATAAGGGGCCGGCAYGGTGGCCTGTAATCCCAGTGACTCAGGAGACTGAGGCAGGAGGATTACAAGTGCAAAGTCATCCTCATGAACTTAGTGAAACCCTGTCTAGAAATAAAATAGAAAGGGCTAAGGATGTAGCTCAGTGGAAGAGCACYCCTGGATTCAATTACCTGTTCCACTGGAAAATACAGCTGTATAATCAAGGGAGGCAGTAAAGGAGAAACTGAGGAACAGGGAGACACAGGCATAGAGAGAAGAGTAGTAAAATAGCAGTCCTGCTCGTGGGAAGTCGGATCAGTGATAAGCAGAGTCCTGAAGCCCGTTTCCAGCAAGCGTCGGTTCCSTTAGGCTCTTTGGTTGCAAATAACTGAAACCAGCTCTTCAGCAAAAGAGAGTGAAGGGCAGGAACCAGGATGGCTCCGGGGGTCTGTGGGACAGGAGCTGAGGGTCCCTCCAGGCCTGGCCATAGGTGGAAGCCTTTGTGTGTCCCAGTCCACGATTTGGTCCCTAGAGAGAGTCCTGACCTGCTGACTTGGGTCAAGCTTGGCTCATAGGCCCGTCCTTGTCCAGGATGGAGCACTTTGAATGACAGTCCCCACAAGACTGCCCGTGGGGGGTGTCGGGGAGAAGTCCTCCACAGCAGAACTGGGGTGCTCTTACCAGAAGACAAGGAAGGTGATGATGTTAGGCCAGCGAGAGTCCTAAGTGTCTACTACAGAGCCAGTGACCGGTGTGTCCCAGAGCTGAATAAGCCAGGGGGGCSTGAGTTAGACTCGGAGAAAGTCCCCTGAGCTTCGCCAAGGTGTGCCCGCGGGCTCCAGGCAGCCATGGGGACACAGCGTTGCCTGAGCTTGTTCAGCCACACCGTGGGTTCTGCCTTTGACCCTTATTAACACGGGACAGTGGGACAGGTTGCAGAGAGGCCAACAGGAGCGCCTGGAGACGGCGTGGGAGACGGATGATTTATTGGGGACAGCTTACCAGAGATCAGGGACTGCTCCAAGAGGGGTCCTGTGGCGCCAGGCTGACAGCGCCTCTGTCCCTCGTGCCTCCTGTTCAGGGGAAGCCAGCTGGAAGCGTGACATGCATCCTCTCCACAGTTCCCTYGGTTCTGCCCGGGTGGCCCCTGAGAGAGGACTTTCCTATGTGGAGCTGCAGAAGCAGTGACATCATCAGCATTAGCTTGCTTAGCTTGTCTGACCAGCATCTGGAGCAACTGTCCTGCTGTACGTGTAAGAAGGTAGCTTTCCACTGACYGCCCTGGCCCCCAGTGAGTGTAAGAGGAAGCCAGTGTGCTGCAAGGTCATAGGTATCTGCTGGGAGCAGTGGCGCACCCCTGTAATCCCAGCCGCCCGGGAGGCTGTGGCAGGAAGAGCACAGGTTCAAAGCCAGCTTCAGCAAAAGTGAGGCACTAAGCAACTCAGCGAGACCCTGGGTCTAAATAAAAAGGTCTGGGATGTAGCTCGGTGATTGAGTGCCCCTGGGTTCGATCCCCGGTACCCCCTCCAAAAAGAATATTCTGTACCTGAACCTTCCCARGCTATCTGTCATTGTTCCCTTACTTGGCTAGGTTTTGGGGAACTGAAAGGGGGCACTCAGGGGTATGGTGTTTCACTGTCTCCTTTTCTTCAAGGATGATTCACACAGTCTCGGGGAGCCCAGGTAGGGAAGCCCTGGCYTGGTAGGTCTCCCTTGACCCTTCAGCTCTGTTGTCTTCTGACTGCAGCAAGGACAGGGTTTCTGCCCACAGTCAGCGGATCCTTCTGGCTGAATGTGAAGTCAGAACCAGCTTTACGCTGGCCTGATGGGTCCTCTGGTTTCTGTTGGCCACCCACCCAGCTTGGGGCAGGGCTGGAGGAGCTCTTAGCCGTCATCTGGGCCAGCACTCACTTTTCCAGATGGGGGACACACAAACTGACCCAGAGGAGGGACTTGTCCAAGGTGGCTGTGAAGTGGCAGCATTTGGGACCAGCACCCCAGTACCTGCTCCCAGCTCGGCCTCCTTCCCTGTGCTGCGCCCTGCGCCTTGCTGGGTAGAAGTTAAAGACAGCTGTGCCTGGGGACCTAGGCAGACCCTCTGCCTGTGCCGGCTGCCCCCTCCCTGGAAGACCTCCTCAGTGTCAGTACTGAGTGTTCCAGTGGGGGAAAGAGGGAGGGAGGGTGACTTCATCCCTCACTGGTGACCTTTCCTGAGAAGGAGCCTCGGCCAGCTCTGGCCACGCTGGGGCGATCGCTGATTCTCTCTTCAGGTAGACTGGACACTGCGCCAGAGCTGTGCTGATCCTGGGGCCAGGCCTTAGAGGTAGGGTAGACTCCCAGGGAAGAGAGTCGGGGATGAGAGACAGGAGCAGAGGCGAGAAGGAAAGCAGCATCCAGGGAAGGGTGGATGACTGTTTTGCCAAAATAAAGCATTTCTTTAGTGTTAGGGGTGGAGTACTTCTGCTGGGTATATTGGGGACATAATAGGGTGTGGCTGAAATGCTAACCTAAGTGCACCTTAAGAGCCATTGGGTTCCTAAGCATTTACCCTAAGGGGATTGGAGGTGTGGCTTCATGGTAACGCTCTTGCCCAGCAGGACCTGGCCCTGAATGCACTCTCAGAACTGCAAAAAAGAAAAAAGAAAGAAAGAATTTATCCCAAGGGCCTAATCTACACAGATGCACAAACTTTCAGACTAGAATATTCAATCACAGCAAAATTTTTCTGAAGGAAATGGAGCAGGGCATCCACCTATGATCCCAGCAACACRGGAGGCTGAGGAGGGAGGATCACCAGTTTGAGGCCAGCCTGGGCAGTGAGACCCTGTCTCAAAATAGAAAATAAAAAGGGCTGGGGGTGTGGCTCAGAGGTAGAGTGCCCCTAGGCTCAGTCCCCAGTACTGCAGAAAAATGGCCCAAATGTCCAATCATAGTAATGATGTAAAATATAGCACATGAACTATTTGGYCCTTATTTAAAACAATAAATTAAACATGGCTGTCAGGGAAATGTGTTCACAATATGTTGAGTTCCAAAAAAACAAACCAGGTTGTATAAAACAGGTAGTCATTTCATAAAGTAAAGCAACAATTTCCATTGACATCTAAACTTGTAGACAGAAAAAAGCTTACGGGAATRAGAACCACAATGTTTGTAGTGATTATCTCGGGATTAGCGAGTTACAGGTGGCTTTTCTGTTGTGGTGTTCTTTTTACAAATCAGTATTTCCTAATTATTCAACAAGGAACATACATTTGATAGTCACGTTTAAAAAATACCATGCGGAGGATTCTGAAGCTTATTCATAAGATGATCTAAATTAACATTTTGTAGATTAAATGATTGAAAGGCCCTAGGCCTCGAGCCAGTTAACCGGGTCTCTTTGGGTACTTCTGGCAGCATGAAGGCTCTCAGTAAGATGACAGGACCCAGACCCGTGTTTCTCCTGTAAATGCTGATTTCCAAGCATGGCTTTTCTGCGCAAGATGGTGACCAGCCAGTGCCTCTCAGGGAGGAGCAGGGCAGGCTAGGCCTTATCTGGTCGTTGTGACCACACGGCCAAAGGGTAGAGTTTCCTGGGATACCCAGTTCAGGCTGGATGTTGTTTTTCTGGTTTTCTATGGGGACAGCAAATAGTTGAGCATCAGGTATTTCCTGGGGTCCCCTGGCTTGGCCGTGACGCATGTCTGCTTTGTGAACTTTCCTTCCAGGAAAACCTGATTGGCGCCCTCTTGGCGATTTTTGGGCACCTCGTGGTCAGCATCGCACTTAACCTCCAGGTAAGTCTCCCTCACTGGCACYGTCCACAGCAGGGACAGGGCAGGAGGTGGGTGTCTCGTCCAGGTCCAGCTGCCTCCTCTGTGGGCCCTGCCTGCTCTGTCCTGGGCTRTACCTGCTACAGTACCTGGTGGACTGATGCAGAGTCTCTCTGGATTCTGTGCCCCCCTCCCTCGCCCAGCTCAGGACCTCCCCTCCTCTTGGGCCCGGGCTGTGCAGTAGCCTCCTGCCTGGCCCCCCGGGTTCTGGTCTCATCCTTTCCTGTTCCCCTTGCTGCTGGGCTGCTGTGGTGCTGTCAAGTTCAGCTCTGATTACAGCACAGACTGGTGCTTAACAGTCTCCGGGTGCCCTGCAGAGCCCCCAGACCCTGTGTTCACAAGCAGCTGTGGTTTGGAGCAGGCTGACAGCTTGAGGGGCTCCCCTGAGGGCACAGGGCACTGCCCCCCCCCATGGCAGGTGCAGTGAGGGGAGAGGAAGYGTTAGGGCCCCTGGACGGGGCCTGCAGCCCGTGGGGGATGGGTGCCCATGGACAAGTCCCAGGCTCCTCTCCAATGGTAGGGTTTCTGGGGGTTCCCGTGCACTGAGCCTCGGTGGTCCACAGGGCCCTTCTTCTCATTAATGTACCCCTCATTCGTTCTCCATCCCCTCCCTTCCTGTGCTTCCTGGGGTCACCTCCCAGGTACACCACCTGTCCCAGGTCTGTCCCTAAGCCCCGCCCACTTCCCTCCCCACCTCCCTCCCCCCTCCCTGGAGCAGGTGTGAAACTGTAGCCCTGTGGACAGGTATGGGGCTCGTACACCCATGCCTTGTGCACCTCTGCCATGCATGTGTGCACACGCCTGTGCGCATGTGTACGTGCCTATGCAAGTGTTGTACGCGCCTGTGCATGTGTGGTACACGCCTGTGCGTGTGTGCGTGTGTCCAGGATTCCCAGTTAGCACACTCGCCCTCTAATTCCACATGACTCCTAGCCTTCCTCAGTGACCACCTTGGTGTCTGTGCCCAGTTCACATTTCCAGAAACACAGGAGCRCGGGCCATGCTTGAGCCACGGTCTGCCCAGGAGAGGCAGAGCCCACTGATACCCTCGAGGCTGCCCAGCAGAAGCTGCTGGCCCCTTCTACAGAAGGGAGCATGACCAGCGAGCCTCCCATACTGAGGACCCCTGGGAACTGCAGCCCGAGGGAGAAGGCCAGGCCACAGGCCAGGCCACGGCGGGGACCTCAGACCTGGCTCCCGCCCCGATCGCCCTCTGCCTGTGGTGTGCGTTAGCAGTGCCCGTTCCCAGCTGCCCACTGCGGTGACCCTGGGGAAGAGCCCAGGCAGGTGTCCGTCCAGGTTTCCAGGGAAGGTTCTGTGGTTCTCGGCCCCTCACTGTTGGGGACAACTGCCTTAGAGTGACCGGGGAGAGCTGGCGTGCAGCTGGCTGCGGCTTATCTTSTCTCCGTGAGGGCTCCGGGTGATTGTTAGAGGTGGGTGCAGGTCTGGGCGACTCTCGTTCTCTCCGGGTTCCAGAAGTACTGCCACATCCGCCTGGCGGGCACCAAGGACCCGCGCGCCTACTTCAAGACCAAGACCTGGTGGCTGGGCCTCTTCCTGCTGCTGCTGGGCGAGCTGGGCGTGTTCGCCTCCTACGCCTTCGCCCCGCTCTCGCTGATCGTGCCCCTCGGCGCCGTCTCCGTGATAGGTGAGACCCGCCCTCCCGGGCACTCACGGCCGTGCAGCTAGTGCCACCGCCAGGGTCAGAGCAAACAAGCGGCTCCTGCTGTGAGAGCAGCGGGCGTTGACAGAGGGCAGCGGCCTGCCCCGGTGTGCGCACCCGCCYGCCTCCTGACCCTCCCACCAGCCGCCCCGGGAGATGCCCGTTCTCCCCATTTTACAGGGGAGGACATTAAGGCCAGAGGGATAGAGTTACTTCCCCAGCCCATGAGCCTCGGGCGCCAGAACCTGTCCAAACCCAGGAAGTTTGTCAGGATGGCTTTTATTTCCACAGCCAGAGGAAGGTGAACCCTCGCCC